GAATGTCAAATATTATTAATTAAATAAAATCCTACAAGAACACAAACTCCATACAAAGCCATATTTTTCTCTAGCCTAAATATAGAAAGTATTGTTGACGTTTTTAAAATCTACGTAAATGCGCAAATTAAATGCCACAAATTTTTTTTGTTTTGCCTCATAAGTTATGTTGTCAACATCAAGATGCATATTTTGGTGGCCATTAGGATCCATTAGGATTCTTAGGTATATCAGAAAACATTGAAGTATTAACAATACCGTTGGCATACCGCCATTAATTGATTCAAAATCAAAATTAGATTTTGATATAAACTTTCCAAAAAAATGACTAAACTTTGTTTACAAAACCAAATTCTTACTGCAATAGACTTTTTGGTAGTATGTGATAATCAGTTTGTCCACTGCCTAAGAAAGTAAACAACAAATAACAGAAATGATTATCAGATTTAAGAAAATTAAAAACTTAAAAACATATGAATCAATCAGGCTTAGAGCCTACCTCATAAATTGCGCTATATATCGCTGCCATCATTTCTCAAAATTTCCAAAATTGCACGAATTATGGCAAAAATAGAGGGATAAATTCCTTGAAACAGATGGTTTTGAGATTAATCAAGATAATTTAATAAGAAAATATTTAATACACCATTCGGTTAAATATATTTATCAATACTTATTAATTTAATTATTAAAATCTATAGTTAAAAGCTTTTCTTTCTTGAATTCAAATTTAAAAATTATAATTTCTTAGTAAATGTATTAAAAAATGTGTTGAATTAGAGTGTATACCAATTATTAATAATTTTCGTAAAATGAAATGTAGAAAACATAAGTAATAATTTGTAAAACCAGCTAGGATTCCACAACAAAATTTTCCATCAGCAATCAAAATATACTAAATCTTGTCCATTCCCTCTATAACTTTATATTAAAAAGAGGCCACAAAAACTTATGTTAATTTAAAAAGTGGGGAAAATGTCTTTGAGCTAATCTAAGACCACTTAATTAAAAAATATACTTATATTATGTTTGGTTTAACTGTTTTAAACAGCTTATAACTGAAATGACTGATACTTCAAATATTGTACAAAGACAGTCTTTATTTCATTTAAGGTGGTGCACATATCCATCACTAGGCTCTTGAGGAACAAAGCTTGCCTTGAAGCATTTCTTTAAAGAGAAAATGTCAGTAAATATAGGCCAGTGCAAGTGCTTAGATTCCATAGCGTAGGCAGTATATGGACACACCAACACAATTCAGGTCAAAGAAAATATCAATCCTTGGATGAAGGCTTCAACTTCCCATAGTTGGTAACTATGTAAAAAAATGCGCAATTATTTTTAAAAATTATTTGAAATTAGTATTTGGTAATAACACCGACTAAGCGAATATGCGAATATTATATTTGAATGTGGATATAACATTCGCATATTCGAATATGCTCGAGATATGCTCTAGACATATAAAGAAGATAACTCGAAAAAGGTAAAAGTTTTCTCCTATAAAATGCCATGTTCTTCAAGCCTTAACATGTCAATCATTGGGCAATTCATCAACCCAACAAGAGTTCTATCCCCTTTTACACCTACTTCCCTTTCCTATAGCCCCCAATTAATTAGTCTTCATCACCTCAGGATTTCATATGAAGTTCTAAAATGATTTGAAGAAGACTAAGGTAAGACTTTATTTCAATATATGGTTTCATTCTTTCACATTTCTTTATCTATCTTCTTTTATTATGTGTCTTTTGAGTTTTTCTACTAACCTGGCTAAATTTACTTATAATTTTCATTATCCATTTAATTTCTTAAGTGGTAAGGTAAGTTCACCCAAATCAATTCCATTTCAGGGAAAGATAAAATATAAGGTTCTTCATGTCAAGTACTCCTACGGTGCTCTTAGCAGTTCTAAAGGAATTTATATATTTGTTGGCTTTTTGAGAATATATTTTTATAGCATTTTCTTAGAAATTAATTCATCAACAAAACAATAAAGTTAGAGGGGAGAATGGTCTAATGAGCATCCCGCATTTAACAGCCGTCTTCCCCTTTCAGGAGTATTTG